GTGTCATCCCGGAGAGGTGGAGTTTTCACTGTGTGTTACTGTCAATGTGATTTTAGGAAGTGGAAGCGCGGACGATCTAAGTGTCTTATATTCAAATAGAGCAGCGTGTCACCTCAAGGAAGGAAACTGCAGTGGCTGCATTGAAGACTGTAACAGGTAAACGGCCGTTTTCCGGTTTGTCCCGCGTTGTTAAATCGTTTCGAGGTGGTGGATGCGGTATTTGCTGCCCTTCTGAGTTTTCTGCATGACTCATTTCTTAAGAAGTTGTAAGGTATGTTAACTGATTGGTACATAAAAACCATAAATTCTCTTTAGCCTATAGGTCCTATACTATAGGGAGACAGGCATAGAAGGTTGTGCACACTTTTCAAATCTCCACTGCTGCCACCTCCCGTGCTCTTTTTATGCCAGGCCTGGCCTGCAGGAGAAAACTTCCCCCGACCCTCCCTGCCTCCTGCAGTCCACCTGGCATCAGAACTTTTCCGGAAACAGTCTTGCTCACACTGTTTCAAACAGGTGTTCCCTAGCTCAGCAGGCTCTCCCGGATAGTTCTAAACTGCTCTGTCACCATATTGCTCCCCAGACAAGCCTTCTGCTCCCCTTCGGCCCACTGTCTTCAGTGGGCTCTGCACACCTTTGCTTCTGAAATTTCTGCTCAGCCTTCCCCTCCTCTCTGCCTGCCTGGTCGCCTTCAGCCTCCCTGGTCATCTTCACGTCTGGACGCTTGCACTGTCACTCTCTCGCCTGCAGGTGCTTGTGTCCTCCCCGGCTTTGGTTTGCAAGCTCTCTGGGGTCAGGAGCCATGTCTTATACAGCTCTGCATCCCCCAAGCACAGTAGTCACCATGGGGCCCTGCCAGTTACATGCTGAAATAGAGGAAACACACTTTCATGAATAAAAAGTATGGTTTTCTTTTACCATTAAGTAGTAAGCCTTCCTCAGGAGCCTTTTGGAAAGAAGCTATTATTAGTGAATCTAGAAAATAAGAAGTCATATGTCCTGGTTTGACCTTAACATTCCCGGATTACTCCTTTCGTCTGGTATAATGATTCATATCACCCCCTTTTGCTCTCAGAAGCCCCCGTTTGGACAGTAACTTAAGTGGACACCCTGATTATAAGGTGAACGATTCATTTTTTTTTCCACTGGTAGTATCAGTTTAATGCAATGGGTAAAAACTTGTTAGTATCTGTGTCTACATTTTTTTTTATCCTCACCCGAGGATATGTATATTGATTTGAGAGAGAGAGGAAGGGAGAGAAAGAAACATTGATGTGAGAGAAAAACATTGAACCTGTAACCTAGGTATGTGTCCTGATTGGGAATCGAACCCTAAACTTTTTGATGTAAAGACAATGCTCCAACCAGCTGGGCCAGCTGGCCAGGGCTATGTCTACAGTTTAAAAAGAAGGTCTTTGCTGGTGTGGCTCAGTGGTTGACCATTGACCCAAGAGGTCCCAGGGCCGGTTCCCAGTTGGGCATATGCCAGGTTGCGGGTTCCATCCCTGGTCATGGTGCATATGGAAGGCAATTAATCAATGTTTCTCTCTTTTTCTCTCTCCCTTCCTCTCTCTAAGCATGTCCTCAGGTGAGGATTTTTTTTTTAAAGGTCTTGGTGCTTGGATTTTTTGCCAATTTTACATTCAAATTTTAAATAAATAATATTTATATTCATTCCGGCCTGACTTTAGACCTCATCCACTATTGTGCTAGTTCACATTAGCTAATTGTTGTTACATTTTCAGGAATTTGTGAATTGGTCGAAGTCAAGTGGGTAGCTCGAAGTCTGCCATGGTGCAGTACTAATACCATGAAAATTGGCAAATGCCATAAACCTGGGCTTTTTTCCTCCAGGAGAGCCGGATGTTAAACATTTACCACTGCCCATAACTAACCCAACAAGACCACGTGAATTTGCAGAACATCAGGCGCACTGCGATTTGCAGCCAAGAACCTGTGAGAGGGCTAAAATAATAATAATACTTTTCCTTCCACTGTCTAAGTTCTAGCTGGGCTCATAATCAGAGTAACAGAGGAATATTAATAGGAGAAAATCAAATTTTAATACATGTGCTTGGGGAATTCACATACGCATGAAAATTCCAAAGACACAGTGAGGTAAAATTTGGTATATATGTAATTTTTGACAAAGAAAGGAGGGGAACACACATGGCAGGTAAAGATTTGCTAGACAACCCAGAAACAATGAGATGGCGGGGGGGATCTAGTAAACAGGCCCCTGCTTGAGGCCTTTCTGCCAACCATACTTCATTCAAATTAGGCCACGGTGAGTATGGGCAAGATTTCTTTCCTGGAGCAGTTTTTTCTATCTGAATCTCTTGGGCAGGAAAGAAGGGAAAGATCAAAGGTTCATTTCTAATTCTTTTGTTTCTTAATAGCCAGCTTTTATAAAAATATGGTTTTATTGATTTGAGAGAGAGAGAGAGAGAGAGAAACATCAATAATGAGAGAATCATCAATTCAGCTGCCTCCTACATGCCCCCCACTGGGGATCAAGCTGAAACCTGGCCATGTGCCCTGACCAGGAATCAAACCGTGACCTCCTGGTTCATGGATAGACGCTCAACCACTGAGTGACACCGGCCAGGCTATTTTTCCCCCCCTGAGGACATGCTTAGAGAGAGGAAGAAAGGGAGAGAGAGACACACACACATTGATCTATTGCCTTCAGCACGTGTCCTGAACGATTAAACCTGTAACCCAGGTATGTGCCCTGACCAGGAATCAAAGTGGCAACCTTTCACAGGACAATGCTCAGTCAACTGAGCCACTCCGGCTGAGCTCAGAATCACAGGTTTTTGGATGTCAAAAACTTTGTTTCCCTTCAATCCTTTCCACTTAGGTGTCTGTTGCTAATACATTACCCTTCAGACTTGTCTTAGGTATTCCCTACAGTGAGTGAAATCTAGGACTCTTTTCGTTAAAAACCCAGTATCTGTACAGACAAGGCTACTGTCAAACAGTGGACTCACGTTGTCCTTAAGTGAGATTGTTTAAGGTGGCAGGCATTTTCTTGTTAAAACTTGTGTTTCATTGTAGACCCAAGAGGAGGTGAAAGATGGGACTCCAGCCATGGTGTCCAGGGAGGCTAGAATGGAGGTTTGTCTGAAGGGACAGCCGGCCTGCTGGGGAAGGAGGTGGGTGGAGCTTAGGTAAGGTGTCCTTAAAACATTGTCTTCTGGGCCTAGGAATCCAGCTGTGTTGGTCAGTACTGACCTCCAGCATAAGGGGCATTGGGTGGTTTTACTCCAGAGCATTGGTTCTCAAACTCTTTTTGTTGTTGTTGTATATATTTTATTGATGTTTTACAGAGAGGAAGGGAGAGGGAAAGAGAGTTCAGAAACATCGATGAGAGAGAAACATCGATCAGCTGCCTCCTGCACACCTCCTACTGGGGATGTGCCCACAACCAAGGTACATGCCCTTGACCGGAATTGAACGTGGGACCTTTCAGGCCACAGGCTGACGCTCTATCTACTGAGCCAAACCAGTTAGGGCATGTTGTTGTTGTTTTAATATATTTTTATTTCAGAAAGGAAGGGAGAGGGAGAGAAAGATAGAAGCATCAATAATGAGAGAGAATCATTGACTGGCTGCCTCCTGCACACCTCCTACTGGGGATCAAGCCCGCAATCTGGGCATGTGCCTTGACGGGGAATTGAACTGTGAACTCCTGGTTCATTAGTCCATTCTCAAACACTGAGTCACACCAGACGGGCAATACAATCTTGATGGTATGTTCTATTTCAGAATATAATGAACTACGTTAAGTAGTGAAGTAGTAGCTTTACACAGTTACTTCAAACAAAACCAGTGAACATAACCTTGAAATACATCTCTAGTGATACTGAAAATACTTCATGGAGTAGTCCAAGATTAAAATTCACGGCTTAAAGAAGTCATTGTATGCCTGGCTGGTGCAGCTTGGTGGTTGAGCATCAACCTATGAACCGGGAGGTCAAGATTCAGTTCTGAGTCGGGGCACATGCCTGGGTTTCGGGCTTGATCCCCAATGGGGGGCGTGCAGTAGATAGCCGGTCAATGATTCTCTCTCATCATTGATGTTTCTAACTCTCTCCTTTTCCTTTCCTCTCTGAAATCAATAAAAATATATTAAAAAAGGAAGTCATTGTATGCCTCCTTGATGACCTCTGGTCTATTTTTGAGGCTCTTTAGAAGCAAGTGAATAATAAAAAACTGTATTAAGTTTTGGAGAGCTAATTTTCAAACAGCAATGCAAGTTTTTGTGGTTCTATGCTAAGGTGCCTTATTAATTACATAGGTGCAAATAAAAAGTTCCCTTTTAATCCTTCAGTAACAATCTGTTGAAAGCCTACTCTGTTCCTGGTGCCATGATGGGCTCTATTAGGGTGTAGGGGAGGGGGTGGGTGTGTTAGGGGTGAGGATATAGTGGGGTGAGGGCAGGGGAGGACGTAGAAAGAGGTGCAGAGGCGGGTGAGGCGCACTGCCTGCTGCCGGGGAGCTCGGTTTCAGAGGGGGAAGAGCAAATGAATGCCAACGGGCTTTGGTCCTGGTTTAAATGAAAGGAAGTAACCACAGATTTGATTGCTCTGCTACTCAGGGTTTGCCTTTGTGGCATGTTGCCAGGTCCTGAAGATGAAATGCCAGGTAGGTGTGTATTTGAGTCCAGTGCTGCAGGGTACATTCAGTTAGTGTAAGTTAAAGAGTAACTTTCAGAACAAATGACATGTAATATTTTTGTCGTCTTTAGGGCTCTGGAACTTCATCCATTCTCCGTTAAACCTCTTCTTCGACGAGCAATGGCCTATGAAACTTTAGAGAAGTATCAGAAAGCGTATGTGGATTACAAAACGGTGTTGCAAATAGACTGCGGAATCCAGATAGCCAGTGACAGTATTAACAGGTAACGTGATCTGAGGGTTAGATGTTTTATGATGGAATGAGATTCTTTTTCTTTCCCTCCTTCAGGAATGGTGTCAAAGCGTACGAGTGTCCTCAGTGACTGACTTTACATGAGTGATTGCTGCCTTTCCCTCCATCCAAACCAAATGGTTCTCTTTCCAACTTAATTTCTAAGTATCCCATAATACATTGAGTTGTCCTCGAATACCTTGAAACTATTTTTTTTTGCAATTTTAAAAATTAATTTTAGAGAGAGGAAGAGAGAGAGCGAGAGAAAGAGAAACGACCGATGTGAGAGAGAAACATTGATAGGTTGCCTCCCACATGCACCTCGACCGACCTAGGGATTGAACCTGAAACCTGGGTATGTGCCCCGACTGGGAATTGAATCCACCACGTTTTGATGTATGGGATGATGCTCCAACCAACTGATCTACACCAGCCAGGGCCTCTAATACCTTTATATATGTTTCCTGGTCCATTTATTACTATTCAGTGAATATTCTTTTTTTTTAGTGTTTTTGTTTTATTGTTAACAGAACTGTATTACAGATGTCCCCCCATTTCCCCCACTCCTTTCCCCACTCCTTCCCCATCCTCCACTCAGCCCCTGCTGCACCCCTATTGTCTGTGTCCCTAGGCTATGGCTATAAGTTCTTTGGTTAATCTCTTCTTGTCCCCGCCCCCCACCTTCCCTCTGAGAGCTGTCAGTCTGTTCCATGCATCCATGCCTCTGAATCTATTTTGTTTGTCAGTGTATTTTGTTCATTAGATTCCACATATAAATGAGGTAATTGATGTTATCTGACTTATAAATGAGATGATGTGATGTTGTCTGGCTTATTTTGCTTAGCATAATAATATCCAGGTCCATCCATGTTATCCAAAGGGTAAAAACTCTTTTATAGCTGCATGGTATTTCATTGTGTAAATGTACCATAGCTTTTTTTTGTTTTGTTAACCCTCACACGAGGATATTTTTTCCATTGATTTTCAGAGAGTGGAAGGGAGGAAGAAGGGGAAGAGAGAGAAACATTTCTGTGAAAGAGACACATTGATTGGTTGCCTCCTGCACTTGCCCCGACCAGGGCAGGATTCGAACCTGCAATCCAGGTACCTGGAATCGAACCTATAACCCCTTGGTTTGTGGGCCAGTACTCTAACCTTGAGCACACTGGCCTGGCCTGTACCACAGTTTTTTTATCCACTCATATACTGAGGGGCACTTGGACTTTTTCCAGATCTTAGCTATTGTAAGTAATGCTTCTATGAACATAGGAGTGCATATATTCTTTCTGATTGGTGTTTCTAATTTCTTGGGGTATATTCCTATAAATGGAATTGCTAGATCAAAAGGCAGATCTATTTTTAATTTTTTGAGGGAACTCCATCCTGCTCTCCACAGTGGCTGTACCAGTCTGCATTCCCACCAGCAGTGCACAAGAGTTCCCTTTTCTCCACATCCTCACCAGCACTTGTTTGTTGATTTCTTAATGGTAGCCATTCTGGCAGGTGTGAGGTGATATTAATTTGCATTTTTTTGATGACTGAGCATTTTTTCATATATCTCTCTTGGCCATCTGAATGTCCTCTTTGGAGAAGTGTCTACTCAGGTCCTTTGCCAAGTTTTTTTATTGGATTGTTTATCTTCCTTTTGTTGAGTTCTCTATATATTTTGGAAATTAAACCTTTATTAGATGTATCATTGGCAAATACGTTCTCCCATACAGTGGGCTCCCTTTTCATTTTGATGATGGTTTCTTTTGCTGTGCAAAAGCTTTTTAGTTTGATGTAGTCCCATTTGTTATTTTTTTTTCTTTATTTCTCCTGCCCTAGGAGACGGGTGAAAATTCTGCTACGTGAGATGACAGATTTTACTGCCTGTGTTTTCTTCTAGGATTCTTCTGGCTTCGTGACTTACATTTAAGTCTCTCATCCATTTTGAGTTTATTCTTGTGTATGTGTAACTTGGTGGTCTAGTTTCTTTCTTTTGGCATGTGCTTGTCCAGTTTTCCCAACACCACTTATTGAAGAGACTGTCTTTACTCCATTGTATGCTCTTGCCTCCATTGTCAAATATTAATTGACCGTAATGGCTCTGGTTGATTTCTGTGCTCTTTGTTCTGTTCCATGGATCTATTATGCCAGACTTTCGATTACAATAGGGATTGTGTTGAATCTATAGATTGCTTTGGGTAGTGTGGAATTATGTCTAATACATGAACTCGGTATGTGCTTCCACTTGTTTGTGTCTTTCTTTATTTCTTTTTTCAATGTCCTATATTTTTCTGAATACAGGTCTTTTACCTCCTTGGTTAAGTTTATTTCTAGACATCTTACTTTTTTTTTTGTTGCAATGGTAAATGGGATTTTTTTTAGTGTCTCTTTCTGAGAGTTCATTATTGGTGCATAAAAATGCCATCAAGTGCTAGCCGGTTGGGGTCAGTGGATGGAGCGTTTGCCTACGGACTGAAGGGTCCATAGATCAATTCCGGTCAAGGGCATGTACTTGCAGGCTGGATCCCTGGCCCTAGTCAGGGTGCGTGTGGGAGGCAACAGTCGATGTGTCTCTCTCACACTGATGTATGAGGAGGCCTTGAGCAAAATTGTAGAAAATGAGAATGGCACGTTGGATTAATTCATGTTTTAAATCATGCCTTACCTCCCCACATGGTCCCACTGTACTTTGGAGGAAACTGTTGGGAAGATCTGTATTCCTGGAGCTTGCACTCTGGTCACATGGACCCTGACAGCTTCCTGTCTGACTGGAGGAAAGGGATGGATATTGGTTATTGGATCTAGGCTGGACCTAGATCAGACCTTGGGCATTCACAGCCTCCTCCTTCCCCTCGAGCTTGTACCATCAGGAGTGTCCCCTGGGAGCTCTCCAAGCCGCTTGCCCTGCTGCAGAGCCACCTCACTGCATGTCAGCTGCTGCCTCCTCCTACGTTCCTGGCACCCTTTTGCTTTTGCTTTTTTTTTTTTCCTGGTTAACCCCATCTCATCCTTTAGGAGCAGATTGCTTCCTGGAGGAAATGGCTTTCCCTGACCTACTCATCTCTCTCCCCACACCATATATGCACTTCAGGCTTCCTACCTCTGCCCCCAGAACACCGTGCCTCTTATCACCCAGCTGCCAGATTGTGTGCAAATGCTCTGTCCCTCTCTTCTTGTAAAATATGCTTTCTCTCATCCTAGTAGGAGTTCCTTGAGGTCAGGACTTGTGTTTTATCCATCTTTGTAGTTTCAGGAACTTGCACAGCAGATATCCTCAGGGAAAAGGTGTTGAGGGAATGCGTTCTCCAGCAGAGAGGGCATAGCTCACTCCGGTGCTGGGTGGGCTCTTTCTGGGAGTCTCCAAAATCATCAGGGGAAGTAGGAACTTCTCCCAGAGTCAGCGGTTCCTGTGGAACAAAGCAGGAAGACACCTGCAGTCTCTGACAGAGAGGAGGCCCCTGCCGAAGAGCTGTCTTAGGAGTCGCACTTCATGGTGATGGGCTGAACGCTCTGAAGGGAGAGAGATGTCTGAGAGACCGAGTACTCACATTTCTGAGCCTTCCGCATTATGTTTTCTAAAACAATTGAAGTGTAAGTCACATAACATAAAATTAACTATTTTAAAGTATGTAATTTAGTGACTTTTCTAGCATATTCACAGTGTTGTGCTATCTCTATCTAGTTTATAGCATTTCATCACTCCAAAAGGAAACTCCTCATTCTCATTCCTCATTCTCCCTCCTCACATCCCCTGACAAACACTGATTTCCTTCCTGCCTCCGTGGATAATTCATGTAAATGGAATCGTAGGATATGAACCCTTCGTGTTTGGCTTCTTTCAAACATTAGGGAATGTTTTTAAGGTTCATCCATGGTGTAGCGTATATCTGTGCTTCCTTTTTATGGCTGAATAATATTCCATTGCACAGATGTATTACATTTGTCTATCCATTCATCCATCAATGTACATTTGGGTTGTTTCCACCTTTTCGCTATTGTGTAAAGTGCTGCCATGAATATTGAAGTACAAGTTTCTGTTTGCATACCTGTTTTTAGTTCCTTTTGTTGTATACCTAAGAGTCAAATTGCTGGGTGATATGGTAATTCTGTTTAATTTTTTGAGGATTGCATTATACTTTTTATATGTGTGCAAGAAGGTTCTTTTGTACAAACTAACTTTTAAGACTCATTTTTTTTTAATTGAGTGGTTCTTGCTGGTATATTTATATATAAAATGAGGAGGCTTTGTCTGGTATTGCCATATATGCTTTTCTGTAAAATAGCCAGTTTAAAATTTTCACCATTCTTTTTCATGAACCCCATATTTATGCTTGCGTTTCCATCTAAGCAACAGCAGTTTTTTATTTACTGAAACATTCGTGCGTATTTTGTTTCTGTCTCCCATTAATCACATTCCTCTCTTCCTCTCCAGGAACCTTATATGTAAAATTCCCTGCATATACTTATTTACTCCCTGGCAACACATCATCTCTTTTCCGCTGCTTCTTCCTTCCTCCCTGCTGGTAATACAAGTTTTGCTTGAAAATTCTTATTTTCTAAAGCTTCTTTTTTCTTTGGCAGTTGTGGGTGGTTACCATTATACATTATTTTTCAAATTTATTTTTTACACCAAAATATATGATATTTGGTGATCATAACCAAAGAGCAAATATTGAAGTTTCAGTTTAAAAAACTGGGAAATTATGTGTACGCTATTTGTCTCTATAAATATAAAAATTTTTCACACAAAAAGTACTACCGAGTTAACTAACTTGAATGCATTCTACTAATTACCAGCCAACCTTCAGTCTTGAGGAGCACCCTTTTAAAACCAGATTCATTCCAAAGACATTATTCTATTTTGTTTTTAAATAAAAGTGTGATATTTTATATGTTAAAAATGATGAAAGTGATAATCAGGGATGTTAATCTGAATTTTATGAAAATGTCATTAGTAAATGTCATTAATACAAGGACCCTCATAGACTCCAGTATCCTATTCTTTATTATTTATGCATATGAAAACAAAAAAAGGTGAGTTTTTTTAGAGATGAAAACAATATAAGGTAAGAGCATTTTAACTGCAGGTAAATATTTTAAGAAAAAGCAATATTCCACATGACGGTTTTAGCCCAGGCATTATTTATTGATTTATTTTTTATTGATTGGTTTGAGAGAGAGGAAGGGAGAGGGATAGACAGATAGAAACATCGGTGAGAGACATGGATCAGCTGTTGCCTCCTGCACATCCCCTACTGAGTTCACAGCCCAGACATGTGCCCTGAATGGGAACTGGACCAGGCTCCCCTTTGTTCATAGGTTGACACCCACACCAGCCGGGCCATTGGTTGATTCTTGTATGTGCCCTGACTAGGGATCGAACCCATAATCTTGGAGTGACTCTCTGAGTATCCCACTGGGCAGCCCAGTCTGTACCCCTATCTTTACAGTCTGGGCATAGAAGTTCCCTAGTGCTTCTGAGCATTCTCAGGAATAATACATTATCCATTTAGTAGTCATATTACTTGTTATGTGGGACATTTCTTCTAGGCCTCCTCAATTTTGTTTTTATATTTCACCTTTTTAAAAATTAAAATGTTATTGCATGTATATTTTTAAACAAATTACAGATGCCTTAACTTTTATCTTTTGATACAAAAAGAATCTAAAGTTACATAATTTGGGGGCCCGAGCCTGGTTTGGCTTAGTGTATATAGAGCATCAGCCTGAGGACTGAAGGGTCCCGGGTTCGATTCTGGTCAAGGGTACATACCTGGGTTGCAGGCTCCTCCCCGGCCCGGGCCCTGGTCAGGGCTTGTGCAGGAGGCAACCAATTGATTTATTTCTCTCACATTGATATTTCTCTCTGTCTTTTCCTCTCTCTTCCACTTTCTCTAAAAATCAATGGAAAATATCCTTGGGTGAGGATTAAAAATAAAAAGTAAAATAAAGTTACATAGTTTTTGGCAACTTTTAAAAGTCCTTTTGAAGAGTTTATGTGGACAGGGAAGTACACAAATGCATAGCATTTGTAAATCTTACCTGTTTGTTTTGTTTTTGTTAATCCTCACCCTAGGATATTTTTTCCATTGCTTTTCAGAAAGAGTGGAGGGGAGGGAGAGAGGAGAGGAGAGAGAAACACCGATTTGAGAGAGGCACATTGACTGGTCGCCTCCCGCACGCGCCCTAACCTGGGGCGGGGAGTGAACCCACAACACAGGTATGTGCTCCTGACCGGGAATCGAACCCATGACTCCTCGGTGCATGGGCCGATACTCCAACCACTGAGCAACACTGGCCAGGGTGTAAATCTTAACTCTTGATATGACCGTTGGTAATATAAAAAGCAAATTGCATGATCAATAGCGAAAACTCATGTTCTTTTTAGAATAACAAGAATTTTAATGGAGCTGGATGGACCACGCTGGCGCGAGAAGCTGTCGCCCATACCTTCTGTGCCCACTTCTGCGCAGCTGCGAGTGTGGCGGCCTCCGGCAGAGACGCCCCCAGACCAAGTGGGAGATTCCTGCAGCCATCACCAACCGGGCAGCACAGGTAGGGGAAGTCTGTACTCATTTCTTTCAAGGGTTGAGCCCTGTACATTTCACAGTAGAGCAGTAGAACAAGAGCATAAATGTAGGCGTCAGACCTGGGATTAAGGCCCTGTGTACCCTCTTTCTAACTACAGAGTCTTAAGAACTTGCTTCACACCTCCAGTGTCCTAGTGTATATGATAGGGATTAACATGAGCAACTGCCTCATGGAGTTGCTCCTAGGAATAAATGGAGCTATGCATGTAAAATACTTAGCACATGCTGACTGTGAGATCACAGTAGCCTCAATAAAGATAGCATTGTATTAACAGTAAGAAGGAAAAGAGTTAAGTCGCGTGTAGTTCTCTGTGACACCATTAAGACTGATGTGTTTGAAATAAAAAGCACCCTACTGCATAAGTAGGCAGCAGATACTTCTGCCTTATGTCACAGTTGCGAACATGTCTGCATTGCCGTAGTACCTACCTCATTGCTTTGTGCCGTGGTTAGTAAATGGGACTGCCCTCTTGCTTTCTGCTTTAAAGCTGGGTGAGGCCTCATTTCTCCTGCCTGCTGAGGAACTCCTGTGTGTTCCCTGGATGAGCTTCATCTTGCAGAAACCCCGAAGTTCCAGAGCCGTGGTGTCCCAGTGGCTAGTGTTAGACCTTCATCTCTCATTGCCTTGGAAGAAGATGCAGGGACCGTCTGCCAAGGCTTTTAGATGACGTAGCAGTCCCCGGGAAGTCACAGAGATCTCTGCTTTTCTAGAGTCCGTCATTAATGGGGCCTGGCTCAAAACATTTGCTCAGTGAAGGGTGGCTATAATGTACAAAGTACATCTACTAACCATACTGTAGACATGTCATAGCAAATCATAAGGACACCTATAGTCAGCTCTTTCTGTTCCTGGTGTCCTGATTGCTAGTGAGAATGGATACCAAGGGCTTACAAACCTTGGAAGAAAAGCTGGAGGAAAGGTTTTTAATTTTTAGCAAACTGAGGGGGGAAAATACTGTGTTATTTTGTTTTAGAGCTTATATATACCAGCATTCATTCAATGGGGAGTGTCATTTGACCCCTTGGAAACTTGAAACATTAGAAATATTCTGTTATTTGAAATAAGAAAATGAAAAATTAAGATTTTATGCCATTTGTACAGAGGGACAAATAAGATTATCATTTACATTCAAGTGAATGCTGTAAATTCAATACATCTATCAAGATTTTTAGATCACAGAATTTAAAGGTATATTTTAGATTTTAGGTTAAGGATTTTTTATTTATATGAAGTTATTCATAGGGTAAAGTTACTACATAGATTTAAAACTTAAAATTTTAGCAGTTTATGTGTGTTAGAAAGTTTTGGTTGTAAGTAACAGAAAATTATAAGGAATGGTTTTGGCTCAAGTAACTAAAAGGGCCCAGATAGGCTCTAAAATCATGCACAGCTCATCAGAGTTCAGGCTCTGGCCGGAAACAGTGGAACCACAGCAGTTTTAGGCTACATGTCTACATATCAATGTCCAAAGGGAGAGAAACACCATTGCTTTTGGTGGCATTGATTTAAGAATGAGGAAATATGTTGCCCCAAAGTCATAGCTTCTTTATGCTGTTGTTCTATTGGCTCGAATTCTGTTGCTACCTTTTTTTAAAAAAAATGTTTTTATTGATCTTTAGAGAGAGAGGAAGTGAGAGGGATAGAGAGATAGAAACATCCATGGGATAGAAACATCATCAATAGGCTGCCTCCTGCACGCCCCCTACTGGGGATAGACCCCACAACCTGGGCATGTGCCCTGACCAGGAATTGAACCAGCAACCTCTTGGTTCAACCGCTGAGTCACACCAGCCGGGCACTGTTGCTACTTATTCTAATGGGTCATGTGCTCATTCCTGAGCTGGTCTCTGATGAAGAAATGCTATGCGCTGGTTGGCTTAGGCCTATATTTCTGATCAGTAGGGTCAGTTTCTCCTGAACACATGGGCTGAACAGGAGAAGGTGGTAGCTGCGAGGGACCTCAGGGGGACGGGGGTGGGGGGTCGGGGTGGGGGGGGAATGGATCCTGCGCAGGCAATCAGCTGTGATCACTGCAAGACAATAGCTAATGATAATAGTTGGGACACTGACCGCAGATAATAAAACCCAACTCTTAATAGCTTGAAGCAAAAAAAAGAGAAAGAAACAAACCCCACAAAACAGGTTGTTTTGGGCTCTTACAGTGGAGAAGTCCACAGGTGGGTAGCTGCAGGGAAGGCTGGATTTAGGCCTCATTCTCCTTCAGCTCTATCTTGGCCTTTCTCTTGCTCTGTTGGCCCCATTCTCAGACTCTTCCTTTGTCTCATAGGATGGCAACATCACTCCTCCTTTCACCCTCATTCCCCGGGAAAGAGCAAGAATTACCTTATCACATGCTGCCACAAAATTCATAGTGCAGCTCATAGACTCTCATAGGCCCAGCCCTGACCAAAGATTACCCCAAAAGGTAGGGCTAGGGTAGGGGTTGCTTTAAGCCACAGGAGTGAAGACTAGAGGAGGCGTAGCTCTCCCAAGAACTTTAGGGTACTGGGCAAATGTCTACTTCATGCTTCAGTGGGTTTGTTTGTTTGTCCATTTTTCACGAAATAGTGATTTAATGAAACGCTAGATTTTTATTTTTATTTTTATTTTGGAAAGCACATTGGTTAGAGCTGGGCTCAGCGAAAGAAGAAAGGGCTGAGGGTAGTGGAAGACACAGGAGAGCCTAAGCAGGGCTGCCTTAGCTCCCAGGGAAGTCAGAGAAAGGGCAGCCCTAGGTATTCCTGTCTCTAGCAGGGAAAAGGGATGCCGATGTGGATAAAGATGATAGAAGCACTTGTATTTTACATGTTTTCTACTTTGAAAAAAGTGTCATAATTGTATGATCACTTCCACTTACAGCCAGTTTATCTTTCTAATTTGTATGCAGTTTTGTTCCATTTAGACTCTAGCTCCGCACGGTATGGGGCAAGTTGATTTGCAATAGATTTCCTTACAGCTGCACTTGAGATTTTGTAGAGGCGCTTCTATAAACATTAACTCTGTTTTTATTTTTTGTGTTCCATAGATGACAAAATGTTTAAAACCCTTAAAGAAGAAGGAAATCAATACGTAAAGGACAAAAACTATAAAGACGCACTTAGTAAATACAGTGAATGCTTACAGATTAACGATAAGGAATGCGCCATTTATACAAATAGGCAAGTCCTTTGTAACTTTATGTATTTCTTATGTTAATATTTTAATTGTGAAAGTTTTTTCCATGGTTCTGATAATTTATGTAGCAAATTGTCTAAGAGGTGTGTGTGTGTGGGGCGGGGGACATAAGAGTTCTGGAGAGATGGCAGACAAGCGGTGTGGTGGGCTGGGAGGTCCGGTGTGGCCTGTGTTACACACAGGCTGGCGTTCCGGCGTGGACGGGTGCTCTGACCCTTCCGGGCGGTGGCCTTGCTGCAGCTACAGGCCTGAGTGTTGTCCTCCATGGTGGGAGTAGGACAACACTCGAATTAGTGTCATAAGTGCCCTTCTTCTCTTGAAGTGTTAAAGCAGTGGTTCTCAACCTGTGGGTCGAGACCCCTTTGGGGGTCGAACTACCCTTTCACAGGGGTCGCCTAAGACCATCGGAAAACACATATATAATTGCATATTGTTTTTGTGATTAATCACTATGCTTTAATTATGTTCAATTTGTAACAATGAAAATACATCCTGCATATCAGATAGTTACATGACGATTCATAACAGTAGCAAAATTACAGTTATGAAGTAGCAACGAAAATAATTTTATGGTTGGGGGGTCACCACAACATGAGGAACTGTATTTAAGGGTCGCAGCATTAGGAAGGCTGAGAACCACTGGCTTAGAGAGAAGGGGTCAGCCTCTGTAGTGTGCGGTAGGAATGGGCAGATTGTTCTAGAATGCTGCTCAGGTGCTGTCTTCACCACATTGTGGTATAAGATAGTTACCTAGACGATGGTGATCTGGGGAATTTTAGGGAGTAAGTGGAATCTGGGGTGACAAGGAAAAATAAGGCATAGTTCCTAAAGAAGAGGGACTCTTAGCATGAGCTTTCTGGCTATTTCAGATTAATTCTTTGAACTGAACTTCTCACGGCTTTGTTTTGTATCTTTTCCTCTGTTGGTAACCTTTTTGCCAAAAATTTGTCACTGACTGCACCAGGTGTTTTTCTACCCTTCTGCTCAGCCTCAGTGTTAGGGCTGCTCAGTGTCCCGGGACAGCCCTCTCTCCCTTTGACGGCAGTGCCGACGGCTCAGTTGCCTGCCTCTCCTCTTCTCCCTCGGGCGTTCTTGGGGTTCTAAAGGTGTAGACCCCTTTTTCATCCTCTATGCTCTCTGGCCATTTCATTCTCTCCGCAGTCCATTTATCCACCTTCCAATTATGGCCTCTAACTCTGTTCCTGAGTTTCGGACCTGAGCGCTCCCTCCCCTTCTGCGCTCCTGATGGGTTATCCCCCTGACTAATGCCTCCCTTTTGACCCACCGTTTCTGCCTTTTGTCTGCAACACCCTTCACATGTGCCTGCAGTCTTGTTCCCTCCTTTCTCGTCCTCCAAGTGGCAGCCAGAGGGCTCTTTCTAAACATGGTGAACACGTCAGCCCCTATTTAAAAACCCATTAAGTTCGGGATAAAGCTCAGCTTCCCTGGCACAATTTGCAAGGCCCCTTGTGATCTGGCCTGCCCGCCCTCCCAGTCTCATCCCTACACTACGGCCATCTGGCACTTTTCTTACCCCGTTAGGAACATGGGATATGATCCAGATACTGCCCTATGCGGAGTGGCTCTGTTAGTTGAGTATCATCCCATGCACCAAAGGGCCACCGGTTCAAATCCTGGTCAGGGCACATATCCAGGTGTCGAGTTCGATCCCTGGTCTGTTTGCATATGGGAGGCAATCAATCGATGTTTCTCTTTCACATCAATGTTTCTCTCTCTCCCTCTCCCTCTACTCTCTAAAAATAAATAAATAATAATAATAAAAATGCACATGCTGGCCCTTGAACTCCACTCTCCCCTCCCTACATCTTAACTCTCACCCCAGTGCCTTTTCTTTGGATAATTGTCACTTCAGACTCCGGGCTTCAGTTTAAATGTCTCTTCTCCTGGGAAGTCTTTTCTGGCTGCTCTTGCCCTCTCCTTGGCGTCCCCAGATCTGATGAGACTCTCAGCTGTGTCCTCCCAGAGCACCCTTTACAGATTTTATTGTGTTTGTTTTTATTTTTAAAAATATGTTTTTATTGATTTGAGAGAGAAAGAGAGAGAGAGAGGAAGGGAGAGGGAAAGAGAGAAACATCAATGAGAGAGAATTACTGATGGGCTGCCTCCTGCACACCCCCTACCAGGGTTGGAGCCTGCAACCCAGGCATGTGCCCTGGCCAGGAATCAAACCAGCAACCTCCTGGTGCATGGGATGCTCAACCAATGGAGCCACACCAGCAGGGCATGTTTGCTTGTATTATTTATTTATTTATTTTAAAATATATTTTATTGATTTTTTACAGAGAGGAAGGGAGAGAGAGAGAGAGAGAGAGAGTTAGAAACATTGATGAGAGAGAAACATCGATCAGCTGCCTCTTACACACTCCCTACTGGGGATGTGCCTGCAATCACAGTACATGCCCTTGACCGGAATCGAACCTGGGACCCTTCAGTCCGCAGGCTGACGCTCTATCCACTGAGCTAAACCAGTTAGGGCTGTTTGCTTGTTTTAATTGTCTCTTCCTTGAGGGCCGGGGCTGTATTTTGTTTGCAGTTATATTCACAGTGTCATAATTACATGTGTTGCAAGAAAATGCCATGATTGTACTTCAGTGTTAGGTTTTAATTGAGAAACAGCTGTGGTATATAGATACAGACTCAATGAGCTATTTTCTGATTTTTCTTAGCAGTCAAATTTATAGGCATATTGTCTTTCCCTTTCATAATACTGAGTTCCCTTGTTACACCAGAGCTCTCTGTTACTTGAAGCTGTGCCAGTTTGAAGAGGCGAAGCGGGACTGTGATCAGGCGCTTCGGATAGACGACGGGAACGTGAAAGCGTGCTACAGACGAGCTCTTGCTCATAAAGGCCTCAAGGTGAGGACCTCTTCATTTCAGTACATACAGTTCAGCTCCGGACAAGTCAGGTGGTTTTCACGAACATCAGTCTCGGGATCTAGGAACGGGAGTGAGGTTATCCTGGGATTTAATCCTAGTTCTATACGAACCAGCCCTGAAACCTTGGGCTAGGCCTCAGCTTTCCCCTGATTATAATGTGGAGCTAGATCATTTCTAAGGCTCCTTCCAGCTCAAAAATGATTATTTCTTTCCTGATTTTCTAAGGAGTGTTGCTAGTTATGAAAAGTCTACTTAAAGGACAGGAATTTTTTTTTTAATGACTTACTCCAGTTTATCAGCAATGCCATTGGATTTCTCCAGCAAAGGACTGGGGTTGTCTGGGGTGGGAGGAAGGCGTCAGAAGGGAAGATGGTAGAGACATATCAGAAATTGGGAAGCTCATGTTGATTTGGGTCTTAACTGACTGGTGGTCAGTATGGGACTAGCGAGTGGCATTCTTTAAGAGAATCACACTTTCAAAGAAAGTATTGTATAATTATGCTTGGGGGTTTATTTTTGTTTTGGTCTTTAAATATTTTTGTTGTTGTTGATTTGAGAAAGAGAGAGAGAAACACTGACTGTGCTTTTCCATTTATTTATGCTTTCATGGGTTGCTTCCTGCATGTGTCCGGATGCGGGATTGAACCTGCAACCTTGGTGTACTAGGATGATGGTCTAACCAGCTGAGTTACCGGCCAGGGCTGCTTTTGTTTATAAGCTGGTTCTTCTGCATGGAAAACGTGAATGAATGTTCATGTTTGTCTAAAATAACATCACAAGGGAAAATGAGCCATACAGAACAAAATGAAATGGCGCTTTTTTTTTTTTTTTTTTTAATACTAACCCTGGCCTATTATGCTTTCTGCTGGTCATCTTTTTATTTTATTTATTATTATTATTTTTTTATTTTTAATCCTCACCTGAGGTTATTTTTCCATTGATTTTTAGAGAGAGGGAAAGATGGAGAGAAATATCGATGTGAGAGAAACACATCGATTGGTTACCTCCTGCACAAGCCTTGACCAGGGCCTGAGCTGGAGAGGAGCCTGTAACTGAGATATGTGCCCCTGACTGAATCGAACCCGGGACCTTTCATTCTGCAGGCTGACACACTATCCACTGAGCTAAACCGGCTAGGGCCGAAATGGCATTTTTAATAGTCATGTTGATTAAGGTTTAATCCAGTGAAATTCACACATTGTAAATGTGCAGATCTTGGATTTCTTTCTCAGCAATTTTTTTTTAAATTGACATAGTAGCCGAAACCGGTTTGGCTCAGTGGATAGAGCGTCGGCCTGCGTACTGAAAGGTCCCAGGTTCGATTCCGGTCAAGGGCATGTACCTTGGTTGCGGGCATATCCCCAGTAGGAGATGTGCAGGAGGCAGCTGGTCGATGTTTCTCTCTCATCGATGTTTCTAACTCTCTCTCTCCCTTCCTCTCTGTGAAAAAATCAATAAAATATATTAAAAAAAAAAAAATAAATTGACATAGTAGTTTCATGTGCACAACATAATTGTATGTGTATATATAGCAAAATGATGTCCATACTATCCATCACCACACAGTTATAAATTTTTTTCTTGTGATAAGAACTTTTAAGATCTATTCTCTTAGCACTGTCAGATATATACTACAGTGTTATTAACTACAGTCACCATACTGTACATTACACCCTCATGAATTATTTATTTATAATTCGCAGTTTGTACCTTTTGACCACCTTCACCCATAGTGCTTATTCTCCACTCCTCACCTCTCCTCTGGCAACCGCCAATCTGTTCTGTGTATGAGTTCGGGGTTTTTGTTGTTGTTGTTGTTTGTTTGTTTAGATTCCACATAGTAGTGAGGTCATATGGTAATTGTCTTTCTCTGTATGACTTATTTCACCTGGCATAATGCCCTCAAGGTCCATGTTGTTGCAGATGTCAGGATTGCCTTCTTTTTTATGGCTGAATAATATTCCAGCGTGTATATGTACACCATATTTTCTTTATCCCTTCTTCCATCGATGGGCACTTAGGTTGTTTCCAGTTGTTGGCTATCATAAATAACACTGCCGTGAACATGGCGGTGGGATATCTTTTTGAATTAGTGATTCTGTTTCCTTTGGATATAGACCCACAAGTAGTATTTTTAATTTTGAGGAAACTTCGTACTGCACCAGTTCACTTTCCATCAACAGTGCACAGGGGCTTCGTTTTCTCCACATCCTTGTCAACACTTATTATTTTTGTCTTTTTTATAATGGCCATTCTGACAAGCATGAGATGATATCGTGGTTTTGGTTTGCATTTCCCTGGTGATTAGTGATGTTGAGCATCTTTTTTCTTTTCTTTTCTTTTTTTTTTTTTGTTAATCCTCACTTGAGGATATTTTTCTATTGATTTTTAGAGAGAGTGGAAAGGAAGGGGAGAGACAGAGAGAGAAACATTGATGTGAGAGAGACACATCGATTGCTTGCCTCCTGCAAATGCCCCCGACCAGGACTGGGGATCGAGGTACATGCCCTTGACCAGAATTGAACCCAGGACCCTTCATTCTGAGGGCCGACACTCTACCCACTAATCCAAAAAGGCTAGAGCGAGCATCTTTTAATGTACCTCTTGACCATCTGTATGTCTTTGGGAAAGTTGTCTATGCAAGTTTCTCTGCCCATTTTTTTTATCAGATTGTTTGTTATTTTGCTATTGAGTTGTATGAGTTTTTTATACTAGTACATTTTGGATATTAATCCCTTATCAGATATATGATTTGCAAATATTTTCTCCCACTCAGTAGGTTGTCTTTTTTATTAATGGTTTTCTTTGCTGTGCAGAAGCTTTTGAGTTTAATGTAGTTCCACTTGTTTATTTTTGCTTTTCTTGTCTTTGGTTCTAGTGTCAGATCCAAAAAATCATCACCAAGACCAAAGTCAAGAAGCTTACTGCCTGTGTTTTATTCTGGTGTTATGGTCCCAAGTCTTACATTCAAGTCTTTAATCCATTTTGAATTGACTTTTAGGTATGGTGTAAGAAAGTGGTCCAGTTTCATTTTTTTGCATGTGGTGTCTAGTTTTCCCAGCACTATTTATTGAAGAGACTTGCCTTTCACCAAAGATAATTCTTGGCTTCTTTGTTATAAGTTAATTGGCCATAAATGTAATAGGTTTATTTCTATTTCTAGGCTCTGTTCTTTTTCATTAATCTATATCTGTGTATTTATGCTAGGACTGTACTGGTTTGATTGCTGTAGCTCTGTAATATAGTGTGAAATCAGGAATTGTGATGCCTCCAGCTTTGCTCTGCTTTTTCAAGATTGCTTTGGCTATTTGAGATGTTCTGTGGGTCCATACAATTTTTAGAATATCTTTCTATCAGTATCTTGGAGTTTTCGGAATACAGGGCTTTCATCTCCTTCATTAAATTCATTCCTAGGTATTTTATTCTTTTTGATGCAATTGTAAATGGGACTGTTTTCTTAATTTGGCTACTGACCTGAATAATATATGTTCCCATGTAGCCACTGCCTCAGTTAAGGTAGAGAACATTTTCATCTCTCCAGAAAGTTCCTTTTGCCCATTGTCTTTAATCTCCCCCCTCTCACCCCACCCCATTTATCTAATTGCTGCCGCTTTAGATTAGTTGGGCACAGGCCCAGGTTGTGAGCTCGATCCCCAGCGGGGTGTGTGCAGGAGGCAGCCGATCAATGATTCTCTCTCATCATTAATGTTTCTCTCTCTCTTTCCTCTCCCTTCCTCTCTGAAATCAATCACTCAGTGTATATGTGTGTGTGTGTGTGTGTGTGTGTGTGTGTATATATTTGTATATATATATATATGTATATATGTATATATGTATATGTATATGTTTTAAAGAATACAGTTGTAGCCACATGAAGAGGTGGTGCAGAGGGTGGGATCTAGGAGGGTTTGAGCGCAGGGGCCTCTGTCTGAATGGAGCTGGATGCGCCGCCCTCCCAGCACGCGGTGCAGTCACCAGCCCGGAGCCCCACCCTTGCCTGCATGACCCAGACACCCTGCGCCCTTTTATTTTGTTAGCAGCACTCATTTGTGAACCTCCCCAAAGATTTCCTAGGCGGTGTGTGGCACCATGAATTAAAGTGGCCTCTTCAAAGTTAACTTTTATTGAGCTCAGTGGATTTGGGTGCATGAGGGTAGATCCACCATGACGCACTGGTTTCCATATGTCCAAACACTTCAGCGGCTTGACCTCATTCTGGCTGCCTGACTCGGAACTTGTTTACCCGACTGGAAGTCAGAAGATGTACCGAATGAAAGACCAGAATTTCATACTTCCTGGAGCAAATTCCAGAAATTGTATTGTGGATGTAGAAAGACAATCCCAAGTCTGAGGAATCCTGTTCCCCTAAATGAGGAGGCCGGCAGCTTGTTTTTCTGGTTTGACTTCTTAGGGCTTGATTCGTCTGCCCTGTCATTAGAGCTCTGTGCCAAGGGAATTGTTCCAGGATCTGCGCAGGCTGCGGCAGTTTATTAATGTGTCGCTCACCCCTGGACCCGCTTCCTCAGGGGCCGGGATGAGGAAGTGGCCCCAGGGCCCACCGTGACAGGTGCCCCCAGCTCTCGGGGGAACCCTGCTGCTTGGATCCCCTGTCTCTCTCCTAGCTGGCTTCCATTTCTCTGTGGGCCAGTTTGAGAAACAGAGCTTTCCTTAATGTACAGTTGTTCTTCACAAGAAAAGGTAACCGGACATTTTGCTGTTGACTTACAATCTGTTTCTTTGATGGAGCGCCGCTTCTGTGCTAGGCTTGGGGACCGGCGAGGTGAGTGAGACCTAGGGCCTGCCTTGTGGAATTTACAGCCAGTTGGCGAGGCTACGGTACCAAGACATCAAAAAACTTCTGTCGTTGGGATAATCTGCCTACATCATAATGCAATTTCTGGAATAGCCAATTTTTATTGATATTAGTTGAAGCACATCTATTAATAGTAAATGTCATCATAAACCCATGTGATTGTACTTCATTTTTTTAAGGCCCAGTGAGATCAGCAGCAGCTTTTACTGCCCTCTTCCTGCCAGAGCCACACTCCCCTGTTTGTATAACCTTCTCCTTCCCTCCACCCTGCAGGCTGCTTTCCCTTTAGTTCCCTCCCCCTCCTTAGTATCCATCTCAACCTTTGGTGTTCTTAATTGTATTAATGACATTTTATTAATTTTTTTACTTGTTTTTTCAATATATATATATTTTTAAATTGATTTCAGAGAGAGGAAGGGAGAGGGAGGGAGCAAGAGAAATGTCAATGATGAGAGAATCATCGATTGGCTGCCTCCTGCATGCCCCCAACGGGATTGAGTCCACAACCTGGGCATGTGCCCCACCCGGGAATCACACTGTGACCTCCTGGTTCATAGGTTGATGCTCAACCACTGAGCCACATGGGCTGGCCTGGGCTTGCTTGTTTTTTCTTTTTTGTTTCCCTTCTTAAGACGTATGTTTCCACAAGGGCCAGACCACAGATGTTCCTGTTCCCCACGCTATTCCCAGTTCCTGGCACACGGATGTGGCCGTGGCCATCTCTCAGGTGAATAACCCTTGCCTGACCACTCAGTGGAGCCGGCAGACTGGCCCCCTCGTCTTCCACTGCCTCCCTGCTTGATGCTACCGCCCTGCTGTCCTGCCCTCTTGCCACACTTGCCTGCCTCTGTTGTGGCATTATCAAGGCGTATTTCCTGTCTTCTTAGGTCCCCTTCAACCAGACAGGTTGCTCTTTAGGCAGTGACTTTTCTGGAATAGATGGGAAAACTCGTATTGACACTCGTGGTGGTGGACTTTCATTTTGTAGCCCCACAGCTGAATTACCATTCACCTCGGGCCCTTGCCTCGATCATCCCAAGATGATCTTACTATGCCTCCGTTTCCATATCTGTAACATGGGGACAATAAAAGTTAGTACTCATAGGGCTATTGTGAGAGTAATAATACTTGCAAAAAGCTGAGAATGGTAAGAATTGGCTCTATTACTCCCTCGGCTTGCCCAGCTGCCCCACTTCCCTGCCTTCCAGGATGGCCCCTGACTGGAACACTTAGGATGGAACACAATGGCATTGGGTGTTTTGGTAGCATGTTCCAGCTGTGTTGTTGTGACACAGTGGTACCTAGATTTGTTACTAATAGTACATAATGTGCTACAGTTTGTAAATAATCTACCTTATCTTTTTGATAAATTAGAGATTTAAGGTTATGCCTTTGAACTCATCCCTCCATTACTCTTGCTCTCGTGTGTTGCCGGGCTAAGGGGAGGGGATGTGGCATTACTGCTAGTCCCTCAGGATGGTCACATGACACTGCTTATCTGTCCTGGGCCTGAGCCTGCGGTGTGTGCTGTGATGGATATGTCATAAATACTCAGGTTGCACATCACTGGGATTCTTCACCTCCTCACAGAATTAATTTTGGTTTAATCAAAACATGGGTTTCCCTGGCCAGCGTGGCTCAGTTGGTTGGAGCGTTGTTCTGTACACCGAAAGATCGCAGGTCTGATTCCTGGTTAGGGCACATACCCAGGTTGTGAGTTCGATCCCCGGTCAAGGGTGCAGTCAGGGAGCATATGTGATGCGACCAATCAATGTTTCTCTCTCATAGTGATGCTTCTCTCTCTCCCTCTCTCCATTCCTCTCTTTCTAAAATCAATACACTTATCCTCAGCTGAGGATTAAACACACACACACACACACACACACACACACACACACATTTAAATGCAGGAGGCAGCCAATCAATCTCCCTTCCTCTCTGAAATCAATAAAAATATATTTAAAAAATTTAAAAAGCATCAACCAATAAAAAACTATGGGTCTAGTCTGTAGTTCTGGAATGTGGCCTGTCACAGTGGCTGATGTTGTGGTATATGTCTCTACTGCCGGATTCCATGCTGTGTTTGGTAAGCTTAGATTTCTTTTCTTTCCCCTCGATCTCTCCAATGTATTGTCTGACTCTTTATGGGAGAATAAATGTCAACTCTAGCCTATTTGAACAGTATAAAACTTTATGGAACAGATAATCTGGTAGCAGCTAACATTTGTTTAGCCCTTTATAGGTTTAAACCACTCATATATTATTTTAATTCATTAATTACTTGGTAGAGCCTTGTGAAAACTAGAATAGAAAAGCTCCTGTTATTCACACTTTAACGATAAGAAAAGCTGAAGCTCAGGAAGGTTAAGTAGGATCTTGTTCAGGTGTCACTGCGAGTAGGTGCTAATCTGAGGATGTTCATTATTTCACTTATTTAGCCGACAGCATGTGCCCACCGTGTGTTCGGGACTGTGGAGGTCATGGTGATAGAGAGTTTAACCTGAGTCTTCTAACTCCGGGTTCTGTGTGCTGTCTCTTATAGAGGACTAGAGGCCCAGTGCACGAATTTTTACACGGGTGGGGTCCGGCCAGCCTGGACCAATCGGGGCTGGGCCAGCTGAGGAGAGGGGCCGCAGGAGGTTGGCCGCCCAGCCCCCCCTCTCCCCTCCAGTTGAACTCCCAGTTGAACTCCTGGCCAAGGAAACAATTTGCATATTAGGCTTTTATTATATAGGACTAGAAGCCCGATGCACCAAAGTCATGCAAGGGGCTTGGCCCTCGCAGTCACGGCGGCTTGCCTCGGCCCTCGCAGCAGCGGCTTCGTCCAGAAGGATGTCCGGAAGGTTGTTTGGCTGTCCAGTCTAAATAACATATTATGCTTTTATTATAGATCTCACTGTGTTATGGGTTATAATAATTTATCCCAAGTGTTACCCTGAAGGCCCAGCTTTCTAACCGTGGTGCTGACAGGAGCCCACTGTGCCACTGTGCACTCCCGAGCGTCCTTCTCCCTCCCCCGGACTGATCTGTGCTCTTCTCCTGTTACCTGTGAAAATGACTGCCTCTGCCCTTCTACTTGCAGGATTATCAGAATAGTTTAAATGATCTCAATACAGTTCTCCGGCTAGACTCAAGTATTGTGGAGGCCAAGATGGAACTGGAAGAGGTGACCAGATTCCTTAATGTGAAGGATCAGGCTGCATCACTCAACAAAGAAAAGGAGAGAAGGAAAATTGAGATTCAAGAGGTATTTGTATTTGATTATCTTTGAAAGTACTTTTTGGGGGATGTTATATTGGATTCTAAGGTCATGTTCTTATGAATTCTACCAATTTCTTTTAAATTTTGTGGGTTTTTTTTATTCTGATACCCAATGAAGAAATTTAAACCGATTGTAAAGACAAACTTTTCCTGTGCCGTGGTTTAGCCTGTGTCTTTTCCTGGTTTGGTCCATGGACGGTATTGGGAGTCTGCATTAGGTTTTTCTGTTCTTTGCCCCTATCCCCACTCCCTCCCTGTCTGGCCTGTGTTTTGTATTGCTTCCACGCCAGACTGCACTGGGAGCCTATGGCCACTGAGCTTTGCTTCAGGGTAGACCCAGAAAATGCTGACAGGACTGATTTTGTTTCAATGGTCCTGGCAAGCCACATGCCATAGAGATTTTCCAGTTTGATTCAGACCTTTTAGCACTCGAAGACTGGCCTCCTCAGAGATTTTTGGACTACGTTTGATTTCAGATTAAATCAGTGTCTTGTGCGATATAGCTTTCTGCTTTTGCCTTCAGTGAAGAATATCAATCATGAATTCCTGTGTATTCATGAATACTAATATATCATATTACATTTCCACTAAGAGTAAGGAGCTAAAATGTGAGAGGCCAGGAAGTGTTTTTCCTTTAAGGATGTAAGAAAACTCTTTTAAGAGAATTGAAAAGTAAGTTTACTTCTCTATTAAATGTAAAGAAATAACTAAAGGTTATGAAAAAGAGATAAAGTTGTTATAGGTCTTCTTTTATACAGCAGCTTTATTCATGGAAAATTATAAGAGCCCTGGCTAGCGTGGCTCAGTTGGTTGGGCGTCATCCCATGCACCAGAAGGTTACTGGTTTGATTCCAGCACATGCCTGGGTTGCAGGCTTGATCCCCAGTAGGGGGTGTGCAAGAGGCAACCGATTGATGTTTTGTGCTCTCTCACATTGATGTTTCTCTCTCGCCTTCTTCCTTTCTTTCTTTCTAGAAATCAACAAACTATTCTTTTTTAAAAAAATATACATATTTTATTGATTTTTTACAGAGAGGAAGGGAGAGGGATAGAGAGCTAGAAACATCTATGAGAGAGAAACATCAATCAGCTGCCTCCTGCACGCCCCCTACTGGGGATGTACCCACAGCCAAGGTACATGCCCTTGACCGTAATCGAACCTGGGACCCTTGAGTCCGCAGGCCGACGCTCTATCCACTGAGCCAAACCAGTTAGGGCAGAAATCAACAAACTATTCTTAAAAAAATTGTTTTCAATGTTAAAAATATTTTAAATTTAAAAAATGCTTTTATGAATGAATACTAATACCTTAAAACTTCTCTTCCTCAAAAAGTAGATTTTATGATTACAGACTACACATTTTCACTTAAGAACCTGACTGACTACAGTGTACTTGTGTTTTTCAGTTCCTTCCCATTGTAATAAATGTAACGTGGGATGTGTGCAGTGGCTGTTTGTGTCAGGGTGTAATTTTTTTTCCTTGTGAAGGTGAATGAAGGCCATGAAGAGCTTGGAAGGACCCCCGAGGAGGTCTGCACGGGCTGCCCTGCCTCTGAGGGGGCCACCAGCCGTGGGCCACCAGAATACTACGAGAAACTGCCCATCACCAAGCCCAACAATGCCTATGAATTCGGGCAGGTGATGAACGCTGTCAGTGCTCGAAAAGATAAAGAAGCCTGTGCACATCTGTTAGCCATCACTGAACCGAAAGATCTGCCAGCGTTGCTGAGTAACAAACTCGAAGGGGATCTATTCCTCCTCCTCATTCAGTCTCTGAAAAGTGAACTTATTGGTAAAGATCCCTCATTGGTATATCAGCATCTTCTATATCTGAGTAAAGCAGAAAGGTTTAAGGTAAGTGGCAGAGGATCTCATTGAAAGAGACTGATTTTTACAGGCTTTCTACAACTTTGACATGTTAATGTTTTATGCTAATGTAATTTTTCTCCTTCTTTCAGATGATGTTGACCCTAATTAGCAAGGGCCAGAAGGAGCAAATTGAACAGCTTTTTGATGACCTCTCGGACACACCAAACAAACATTTTACTTTAGAAGATGTACAGGCCCTAAAAAGGCAGTATGAGCTTTAAATCAGGATTGTTGTTAGATCTCTTCCATGCATGCATGTGCTCCAGTAACACTAGGGAGACGGTATTGTCATACAGTTGCATGGATAAAACCTTGCTTAGAAAAGATCCCTGGGTCTGGACTATAAAATATTTTACTTATTTTTATACATAGAACATGTATATTCTACAATCTGCTTTTTATCAGTTGTAAATATTTTCTTATGTACCAGAGCTAACATCTTTATATTTAATAATAAGTATATTTGGAACTTATTCAGATGCATTTTAATTTATATCATACATTTCCTTTAATAACTTGTTAAAAATTTGAGTTAAATTGCATTTCTTTGGGCTATGAAGGCATCCACTTAGGTTTGACAGAAATATATTTCTTTAAAATGCATTTTTAAAAGTGAAAATCATTAACAGTGATTATGTCACCTTTATTTCCTGCTAACACATACATATAAGTCCCATTTTATACTAGTTGTATATTACAGTCTGCTAAGATAAAATGCAATACTTAAATCCATAATATGAAATGATTATTAAATAAATTGTGATGATCAATTTAAAGCTATAAGAGGAACTTATTTTTTCTAATATGGAAGCATTGCCTAATAATTAAGAACAAAAATTGCCAAAAATTTCTACCACTTTTTACTAGACTTTAAAAAGCTCCTTTCCCTTATAAATTGCTTGTATAAGCGGTAACAAAACAACAAATACATGAGAGCAAACTAAGCCTTCGTTTCTGTTTGCATTGTTAACCCCATATTTCCCCAAATATTTAAATGTCTTCTTGCCCTCTTTCATCCCTCTTTTAAGCAGGACCATGTTTGTTCCCTTAATGTCAAAGGAAAAGTGAACAACTCTTGAAGCTCTTTTGTTAACTGAGGGTAAAGGTATTTCTTAAAATAAAACATTCGGTTTCTATCAGTATACCATCAAACATATTCCTGTAGTCTTCAGTCAGTTCTCTTTTTCTGGAGCATTTTCTTCTTTAGAAGTGAAGATAAAAGAAGAATATCACTAATTGTTTTATCTAATTGTTTTATAATTATAGAATATTTTAAATTTGTTTTATTGATTTCAGAGAGGAAGGGAGAGGGAGAGATAGAAACATCAATAATGAGAGAGAATCATTGATCGTCTGCCTCCTGCACACCCCCCAATGCGGATCCAGCCCACAACCCAGCATGTGGCCTGACCAGGAATCGAACTGTGACCTCCTGGTCCATAGGCCTACGTTCAACCACTGAGCCATGCCAGCTGGGCTAATTACAGAATATTTAAATATCATTGTGGGTAAATGGTGTCTTTCAAAACATGCCATTTTTCTTTTAAACTTTTTTGTTCATAAATGAAAATCTGTAATAATATTTAGTTCTAGTCTTCAAGCCAACAAACAAAACCTTTTTCTCCTTTGTAATACTATTAAATTTGTGTAAACGTAAGTGATGGAGTGTGTTAGTTACTTTAGAACAGGGACATAACAAGGAAACACCGCCTCTTGTTGACAGTCACATACCCAACACCTAGCTGCATGGGACTAAGCTGCCTGCCCGCTGGTGGCAACCTGTCCCGCGAGGAGGTGGAGAGCAGTGAGTGGATGCCCGTCTGTCCCAGTTGTGTGGGTCGCAACTAGAGAAATCCACTTCTCTCCAGCAGCACCCAGTGCACTGAGGCCGCACTTCCGTTACTGAGGTGAGGAAAAGGAAAGTAAAGGAAGCAGATAAGAATGTCAAAGCGCATTAAAGGAACACGGGTCCTGCTGACCTCTCAGGACTTCATCAGGAAGTCCGTCCGCAAGCCCCTGGAATATCCCACTCGATCTCCCCACCGGGTGCGTGGGTGCCCCCAGCGCCCCAAGTGCTAAACCCGCACCCGCTCCCACTCTGTGGCCGGAGCCTTGTACTAGTACATGCCCCTGCGTGCGGTAGCAAAAGCAGATCCACTGATCAGTGCTCTCAGAAAAATGGACCAGGCTGTGCAGGCCAGGAAGAAACTGCAAACGAGCTATAGCACCACTTTCTGGAAAACAAACGAAGTTTCCAGCAGTCAGCATGGTGAGTTATAAGAAAAGATGTAAGAGATTAAGGATTCTGCCACAAGAGGGAGCGATAAGAGTGGAACAAGTCTTCCCATTAAAAAACTGAGGAAACCTTCAGGTAGGAATCCCAACAGTCACTGCCACCTCAACTGTGAGAACAGCAACACAAAACTACAAGGAACATGACAGATCAAGAAAACGTCACCCCCAAAAGTCACACAGCACCTCTGCCTCCACTCTCCCGCCGCAGGGCGCTGACCATCACAGAGAGGCTGAAGAGTAAATAGTCGTCTTGCCTTTGCCAGGAGGGGAAGAAAACCAGGTATTGGTTCAGACAGATAGCCTCCCAAAGGAACTACTTGTATAAGTAAACCTCTGATATTTCTACCATTTTATATGCAATGTTACTGTGCTTCTCTCAACTTTTCCCTGCTCCAAATGTTCTCTCCTCCCCCCTCCCTCTCCCAAGCCACAGGCTAACTCCATTCTTGGCCCTCCTTTAAAACCCAATGCAGTGTCACTCCCAGCTTCTCCTCCCCTGCCCTGGCTGTGAAGTGACCCGTGAGCTTTCTCAGTGCCACGTGCGTGGCTCTGTCAGCTCTAACCATTGTTTTGGTGGTTTGGGTTGACTTATCCATGACAGAGACTGTCTGGCTTAGTTCTGTCCTCCATATTGTTCAGCAACATGCCTGGCACAGTGGAGCGTCAATAAATCATCTTTGATGAGTGAGAAGCTAATTACTAACTTTTATTTCAGTAGAATGTTAGCACTTGGATGTGATGGTTTGCTGTAAAAGAAGTCTCAAAGAAAGTAACTCTATACCGAGTGCGGTGATTTCCCAGGAAGTTCTTCAGTACCTTGTAAGCAAAGTTTCTAGACCTAAGAGTGAAAGACATAATACTACAACAGAAAAAGGGGGAAACCCAAAGGCCCTTAACTGTAAGTGACAGTACCCAGAGGTATATGACACCCAAGCAGATCACAATCACTGCGCTTGAGTTTACACATTACTTTTCTGTTAATCCTGAGGACATTTTTTCCATTGATTTTTAGAGTGGAAGGGAGGAAGGGAAGGGAGGAGTAAAGAGACAGGAACATCAATATGATAGAGACACATGGTTGCCTCCTGCACGCACCCCAACTGGGACAGGGATTGAACCTGCAACCCAGGTACATGCCCTTGATGGGGAATTGAACCCATGACCCTTTGGTGCGTGGGCTGGTGCTCAAACCACTGAACACACCGGCCAGGGGAAGTTTACATATTTTTAAATGATTAATTTAAGAAGTATCTAGGCTGACATGATGGTTGCTTCAAATAACACATGAAATTATTTCTCAACTGTATATAATATGAGACTCATTTCTGGTTCATGGACCATATGAACACCCCTTGTGAATACAACCTGAATCTATGCTCAGCCAGTGTGGCTCAGTGGTTGAGTCTTGACCTATGAACCAGGAGGTCACGGTTCAATTCCCAGTCAGGGCACATGCCCAGGTTTCAGACTCGACCCCCAGTAGGGGGTATGCAGGAGGCAGCCCATCAATGATTCTTATTGATGTTCCTGTCCCTCTCTCCCTTTCTCTCTGAAATCAATAAAAATATATTAAAAACAACAGAACCTGAATCTAGGGCTCCACATCTAACTATGTACCATCAGTTCATGTCCAGGCTCTGCAGTTGTTACCACATGATCCCATGATCCACTACCCTGGTCATCCTCAGCCGCCTGACCTTAACAGAAGGAACCTCTCCAATCAGTTTCCCTTCCTTTGACTTATCACCAATTTTTTATTAGCCAGTTGGCACCACTCAGGCCAAAAGGACCACCCTAAAGACTGATGTGGAGGTCATATAATCCTGTCTCAATTCTCTACATAAGGCAGGGGTGGGGAACCTTTTTTCTGCCAAAAGCCATTTGGATGTTTATAACATAATTCTTGTGTCATACAAAATTATCAACTTAAAAATTAGCCTGCTCTATTTGGTCAAACGTTTAACTCCCCCCTAATGCCTTGGCAGGGCCAGACCAAATGATTTCACAGGCCTTACAGGGCCCTCTGGACGTTCCCCACCCCTGACATAAGGGATGTCTGTTAGCAGAAATCTCTGCCTATGGAGTACAATGCATTTTGTCAAATTTGAAGGTATTGATGTCTTTAGCCAAAAATTAAAGGAGATGGTAAAAAGATCGATGACAAACAAGCAGGAGATAGAATACAAGAGATTCCCACAACTGCCTTCTCTTTTCTTCTCTAGCAAACTGCTTTCGAGCATAGACTATGGCATCAGAAAAACCTGGAATTAAACCTCAAATCCGTTTAACCTCAAAGACTAGGTTCCTCATCTGAAAAATGAGGCGGGATATACCAATTCAGGGCTGTAATGCTACGTAGTTTGTATAAAATGCCAGTGGTGCTTAATAAGCATCTTTCATGTGTATAATTGCTTTCTTCTCGTAAGTCTAATGATCTCATCTATGTTGTTAGAGAAAAGATTAAAAAGCTCTTTGGAAATACTATGTGCACTTTCAGGTTTACTTACTGGATAAGAAACACACATGAAGACCCCTCCAATAGTAGTAGGATAGCCAGGGAAGTGGCTGGCCTTGCAAGACTGGTGCCATCTCTTGGACATTAGTCACGTTAAAACGTAAATCCAAGAGTTTTCTCCACAAGTTGAGCTGCACTGAGAATCTCTCTGTAATAGCACGTGTCTTTCTTTTCCAACCTGTCATCGTTTTGGGGTGAGCCAACACAAAGAGTGGTACATTCAGAGTCTGGCATAGGCTGGTGGGTGCTTAGGAAGTGTTGAATGAATGAGTCTAGAGGACCACTGCCCTAAAATGTGCTCTGGTATCCAACATTCAGATTAGAGAAGTTCCTATGACTGATAAGTTTACAAAGACATTGTAAATATTTCTCGAGTAGTTCTTGGAATATTTACATCAGGATCACTTGGAAATCTTATAGAGCCTAAGGGGTAGGGAATCTAACTTTTAAAGCATCTATTGTGATTCTTAGGCAACTTGGAATATGCAACCCACTGTCCTAGAAGCTGAGGAGTGGGCAATAATATCTGACTTCCATAAGCGTTGTAAATGAACAAAACTATTTATGGCCCCGAGAATAAAGTATTGTGGGGCATAAATAAAAAGGATAGCTCCTCCTTTTATTGAGTTTATATGATTAATTTGGGAAAACAAAACAAAATAAATCCAAGTTCAAGATACTCTAGTATAGTGGTCCTCAACCTGTGGTTCGCGACCCCTTTGGCGGTCGAACGACCCTTTCACAGGGGTCACCTAAGACCATCCTGCATATCAGATATTTACATTACGATTCATAACAGTAGCAACATTACAGTTATGAAGTAGCAACAAAAATAATTTTATGGTTGGGTCACAACATGAGGAACTGTATTTAAAGGGCCAGAAGGTTGAGAACCACTGGTCTAGTAGAAAAAAGTATCAATGAACTGTTCAAGTGTCAAAGTTATTAAAAGGTCCAAGAGTTAATCAAGAACAGTTTCAGGAAGAGGTAAACTCTAAGCCAGGTTTTTAAACAGATGGGCGTTTGAGAAGCCAGAGCTCAGTAGGACTGAACTATTCTGCAGAATTCAGTATCACCCTGCACTGGACACTTCGCCTCCAACTCAGCCACTGCAGATGCTTTGCTGGGGAGCAGGCGGAGACCAGACAAGACATTTGCAAACCAAATAGACTGGGGTTTCTACTTTTCCTTAGGGTTTTAATAGTGACCTAAGTCAAATCCAAAAATAGCTGAAAATTTCATCTAACTACCCTTGACCTTTTTTTATGCCCATTTCCCAACTGTAATATTTTGCCAAACATTTGCTGTAATTAAGGAGTGGTTGGGAGGACTATTTTAACAA